ATTGTACAGTGGCATTAAGTGCCGAAATGTGCACCTCTGCCTACCCCTTCGGGGATAAAAAGGCGTGATGTTATGTATGTGATAAAGGATGTTCATGCTAAATCACGGTTTTGATGTTCTGATGTTTGTAATATCACGTCAGATTGGACAGAGGACCGCTGTACCGCAGGTAGTGATTCTCACCTTCAGGTGAGGGAGGCAATACGAGCTCTGCGCCCACAGACGCGGGCACTTAAAATTACGTTTTTAATCTCGGTAATGGAGGAAACAGCTACGGAGGTGTTGATGGTGAAAATGGTCACAACTTTAGCAATATCACTATTACGGCGTAGGACTTGAATGGCACACCCAGCAGTAATAGGCGCAGGTACCTGTATACAAGTAGTAAACTGCTGCTTCATTAATATCATTAGTATATTGGTCAATCGGAATACAACCTAAAGTGTAGCTACTTTTTGTTTACTTTAAAGAGGGAAAATCATCCAATGACTTCTTCCGCCTGTGGTAAGCCGAGAGGGAGTGTCAGACTCTTACTGACTAAAAACCACCCCGTTCCTACTTCTGCTCTTTGAGGCTTAGCTCCGGCAACCCGTTAGGCCTTTCGCGGGTCCGTATCGGGCATCAGCCCACCTGTGGTGGTCTGACGGCTCTTTGAAGCGCGCGCGGAACGCGACGCGTCGTACGCACGAGTCTGTTTCTGGTCGGGCGGCGAGCTACCCTTGCTCACCGTCCGCGGACCCGCACCTAAGGTGGCCGGAGAAAGTCACGCGATCTCTTCTCTCTCTCTTCGACGCCTGAAGTGTTTCCCGCGGCGGCTGGGGCGTGAGGAGGTTCTTTCTTTCACGCGCCCCGAGTGTAGTTACTTAAGATCTTTATTGTAAGGCACAAATGTGCACTCGAACTACGGTGAGCCACACGATTTTGTCGCATAACCGTATCTTTCGAGCTTACGTAATAGATAGGTTACATTTCCTTTGCTGGTTATTATTGGGCCCACAAAACACTGTAACGTTGTAGGTTATTCCAGAACCCATCTACGATATTAACCATTTTATATAATATTTTGGTGTAATCTATGTATTGACTTAGTAAATATCTACAAACAGAATGAACTAGTTTTAAAGTAAAGTAAACAAAATATTAGGTTGAACACAAATACAAATAAAAACTTTATAATTAACTCAAATACCTACATCATTCGATTTTCTGCTGTTAGACGATGGAACAGAGTGAAAAATGAATTATCATTTGCTAGGAAACAGAATAGATTTAATATTGCGTAATAAGGATAAATAGTATTTAAAGAAGAATCACATACTTGATGGAATTTCCTACTTGTAATCTTGGCAAAGTAACATGGAAGGTGCTAAAATTATGACTAGTGTTTGTCTTGCTTGGTTCAATGATTGCGTCTAATATATATATTTGGTCGATCATGGTATCGTGGCAGTAACTGATTATCTTTGTATTGAGCCATATGTGATTGTAGTGAACTCGAAATTAGTATTATTTAATTAATTAATTTATTTATAATGTCTCGTTTATTATTGTGTGTGTTTGCTCTTCTAGTGGTCGTTAGTATTGACGCAGGTTTGTGTTTTTAATAATATTGTTATTGTATAGATCCTGTTGTTATTGTATAGACTGCCTCGTTGGCCGGTTGCAAGTGCGACTGCCGGTCAAGGGGTCTCGGGTTCGATTCCCGGGTCGGACGAAGTACTACTGGGTTTTTATAAATTCTCAGTAGTAATACGGAGTCTGAAATTGTGCCCGGTATATGGCAATAGGCTCACCCCCTATTACATGGGAGTCATAACATAAATAGTAAAAAGTGGGTGTTACATTGTACAGTGGCATAATGTACACCTCTGCCTACCCCTTCGGGGATAAAAGGCGTGATGTTATGTTATGTTATGTTTGTATAGATGCTATTTGTCCGTCATACTAGGTACAGATTATCTGTATTGTGTGCTGTTCTAAAATTTCAATGACACGAAATAAATAATTATTATTATTTTGTGTCTTATTCGGTGGTCCATGTCGGTGGCGAATAAATTTTCTTTCTTTCTTTCAAAATTATGTAAAGAAATTACTAAAAAATGTTATAACATTAAGTCCGCAAAATTTTAATAATAATTATTTATTTCGTGTATAATTGGGTACTTTACTTAATCAAAAACAAATTATTTCGACTGATCAATACAATTGAATATTAAAAAATAATCACACTGTCATTAATTGGTTTTATGAACTAATTTTTAGTATTTTTCTAGCAAATTTTTAAGAAATACCTAACTAATATGCTGCTTGATTCTTAAAAAACGTGACGTGACATTACACAATAAATGTACAAAATTCATAGAAAACTAATATTCTTCACAGTACGAAAAAAGTATTGAACGTTAGCAAGTACCTACTCACTTAAGAAGAATTATTGTATCGATATCATTACGGTACTTGGTTAACCCGTCGTGTGTCTAAGACGTGGATACACACGAGACACAATGTATTTTCTATTGAGTATCATATACGAGCATTCATCACTTTAAAGTCCAAAGAATGTGTAGTGATCATGTACTATTTATGTAATTTTGCAAAATGAAGTGTTATAAAAACTGTGCGGCTTTCGATTGAAGTACCTAATATTTTTTATTTTCATTTCAGTCCCTGCACCAAAACCAGTGCCAGCCCCTTCACCTCAATTCGGAGGTTTCGGTGGTGGATACGGAGGTGGATATGGAGGCGGTTATGGGGGCGGGTTTGGGGGTGGTTATGGAGGTGGTTATGGGGGCGGACCTTATGGAGGTTTCGGGGGACCAGGTTTTGGAGGCCCAGGCTTCGGAGGGCGACGTTTCGGCCGTTTCCCTGGAGGATCTATAAGTTACTCCAGAAGCGGTACTATCAGTTTTGGTGGTCCTGGTGGCTCAGCGGCACAATCAAGTGCTGGTTCTCTAGGATTTGGAAAATAATTCAAACTGTGGATGAGGCTTTTTCTTTAGTGTTATATGTAATTTAACTGTGTTTGAATAATGTGCTGTACCTGTTCATTAATGTATTTTAATATATCCGTAGTTCTATGAATTACTTTTAAATAAATAATTTAAAAATTTATGTATATATTTTAATAAATATGTTTAAAGTGTCTTTAATAACCTCTAAAAAGTGGTACTCAACCGCAAGATATCATAATCGAATGCTATCAATGACATTTATATGAGAAGATTATGAGATAATTTGGGATAACTGCTAACTGGCATAGAGAAGAGCCAGAAGCAGAAGTCCCATGAGTTAGTCAGATCAAATTAGCGTCACTTTAAACAACAATCCGTGATGGCGTACCACCATACCACCGAAGACATGAGAACATGATGGTAAACGATAGCCAATGAAAAGGTGATTGACTGCATTATTGGTGCAGTGTCTGAGTGCACAGCTTCTATGTAACGTGTTACGGGTTCGATCCCCGCTCCTTTCACCCATCATCCACTCTTCCGCGCCAACGATACATGAGCAAATACTCGTGTGGAGCCATGATTAAAAACTAAACACAATTATGACAATTTTTGTTTTTTTTTAATTGTTGGAATTCTATTCCTTATACTTGTAATGTTTATCAAAAAAATACTGCTATGATAATACACTCCCAACGGTGTAATAAATGGAGTCGCAGAGAACCTAACAGGTTACCGTGGCTCCGGCTCGAAGTGCAGGAGTAGGAACGGGGTGGTTTTCAGTCAGTAAGAGTCTGACACTCCCTCCCGCCTCACCCGGGCGGCAGCAATCATTCGATGAGTTCCCCCTTAAAAATAAACGGTGTAATAAAGTGTATATTTTTTCTTAAACAAATGTTTGTGTGATCCACAAATTTTTGCTCCAGGTCTAAAAATATCCCAATAGGGCTGATGCCGATACGGAGCCGTGGAGGACTTAAAGGGCCACCGAGGCTCCGACTCAAATTGTAGGAGTAGGAACGGGGTGGTTTTTAGTCAGTAAGGGTCTGGATACTCCCTCTCACCTCACTCGGGCGAGAGAAGTCATTGGATGATTTTCATAACTCAAAAAAAGGTGTAAATAAATATGCTGTGCATGTGAATTTATTTTGTACACACATCCACAACAGCCAACAGCCTTAGAGTAGGACAACATCTTATTTAAATAAATGGGAAATGATGAATCTTTGATGATTTTTACAAATGGAAAAACCTCGAATAGTTAAGCTGATGGTATTGTTGACACAAAGGCTAAACATTTGAATAAGTATTACCTATTCATATTCCGAGCTAATATTTATATGATTGGTTATTGACATAGACAACAGTCATAATATATTTTTATGTATTCGACCTCAAAATAACATAGGTAGGTACACAGCATCTAAAAAATATTAAATATCCGGATATAAGATGTCGAGATTCGAATCTAGACTTGGGAGTAAAGAAACGGCGCCGCTAGCGTTTTTTTCATTATACCGAAACCTCTATAACTTAACAAAAATATTACTTTTCCTACAAAATGCTCTTATTTTAAAGGCACAGTCAAAGGTCAAAAGTCCACTGCGACCGTGAGTGATGTTCACACGGCAATGCGTAAGTAATTTCATATTAATGTGCATAAAAACGCGTGCGTATGCATAAACACACGCACACGTAGGTATGCACACGGATAAAAATATGTGTGTGTATGCAATTTAATACCTTATGTACATAAGTAGGTACCTATGCAAATATGCAAAGACGACATACATATACCACGGCTTTAATTATTACCGTGCATATAAGTTACTATACTAAAAACTATTGGTAATACTAAACACGGTAAAAATGGTAATACTAAAAACCCACCCTATCAGAAAATGGTCGTTGTCGTGGTGGCCCGGAGGTTTATAACGCCCGCTTCTCATGCATGCGGGTGCGGTCTCGAAACTTACCCACGGCAAGTACTTTTTCCTAATTATGTACTTTCTAAGATGATTTAGACATCACTGAGAAACGGTGAAGGAAAATATCGTGAGGAA